CTTGACTGCAAGGTCAGTGCAACTGTGGCCAAGACCCGAGTTCTAAGGGTTCAACCCTCAGAATTCAGTCCAGTTTTTTCATCTTTCCTCTACAAAGGATTCCCTGACTTTAAACACAATGACATTCACTTTTCTGTGGCTGGTCTCATGCCCACTTATTTATGGTTTCGTTATAACCTTTAGTACTTTGTTTAAATATAGTTTTTCCTTATCTGTAAGCCTGCTACCGTAGACTGATCTCACCAAGGGCCAGGAATGGATCTTAGTTATCTTCAGATGCTCACTGCCCAGTACATAAGGGAGATCAGTACGTGTGTGTGTGTGTGTGTGTGTGTGTGTGTGTGTGTGTGTGTGCATTTATGTATTGGGCAAATAAGTAGGTGCACAAATAAGTTGAGATGTACTTCCCTGTCACTGTACTGCCCTTGACAACACAAGAAGCCTACTGTGGGCTGGGGAGATGGCTCGGTTGGTAAGACATGCCATACACGCATGGGACCCCTGCGCAACAGCACATGCCGATGATCTTAGTGCTGGGGAGGTAGAAACTGAGGATCCCTCAGGCTCACCAGCCACCAAGTCTGTCCAAATGGGTGGGCTCCGTATTCACCGAGAGACCTTGTCTCAAAGTAACATGGAGAACAACAGAGGAAGACATCTTGGAGGGGCTCTAGCCAGCCCAGGCCTGGCAAGCATGGCTCTGGCAGACCTTGCCCTTCTCCCCAATTCCATCTGAAAACCTTGAGATCATCTTCCTGAAGCTAACCCCCAAGGTCCATCCCTTATTTGACCAATCCATCCTCTTGAGACTGATTACCAAGGTCCAGATATCAAAGCATTGAAGTTCAGCAATCAAAAGTCCCCTGTGGCTGCCTTAACTAACATGCCCAATTAAAATTAAACACCTCATTCTAACATGGGATTTTCCATTGAACCTTTATAAACTGCGATTTTCCTCCATGCCGTGTCTGTCTCCTCTTTATCCAGAGGTAGTTGTTTGTCATTCCCCGCCGTCCCTGGTACAAGCATTCCTTCCCCGTCCCTTGTTCCCTTCCCCTTCTCCCCCATCTCTCATCTTTGTCTCTTTTCTGCTCTTTGTCTCTCTAGGGCAAATAAATATTCTTTGTGCTGAGAACTTGGTCTTGGGGGTCCTGAGCCCATACTGTTCCCGACACACCTTGCATTAACCTCTGGTCTCCACAGCCGTGAACACACACACACACACACACACACACCAACCTGACACTTAAAATTTATACACTATAATGACAAAATAATGGAAGTAGAAAATAAATTTGTAAATTTAAAAATAAAATTTAATAATATAAATTAAAAATATACATAATACAATTTTCTTAGGAAAAAGTTAATACTCAAACAGACTAACTTTAAGAGTGATTAAAATTATAGTAAAAAGCATCAAAGAAAATGATCAGTTTTACATTTTATACCAAAGCTTTACAAAATCTGAAAAAAAACTTGCAGAAAAAGAAAAAAGCCACCTTTAAGTTATGAATTCATCATCACCGTGATACCAAGAAATGAAAATGAAAAACTAAAATATTAATATAGAAACTACTTAATATAAAATATATTAAATATAACCCATCCTTTCAACACTTACAGGAGAAAAAGCATCATTTCATATAAAAGCTCTCAGTAGGTTTGGGCAGAAATGTTCTTGACTCTAAGGCGACACGTCAGGAAATGACAACTAAGGCCATATTTGCCATGAATTCTTGGGAACTTCGAGGGTATCCATGAAAGAGATGGCGATGGGGCAGAACGCAGACTGAAGAGGGAGTTTAGCTAGAGGGTCTGGGTAGAAGCAAGGCTGTAGAGAAGAATCAGGGTGGCTTCTGGGTAAGAGTGAGATCCTGGAGTAGGACCAGGCTAATCGGAGAGGAAAGCATGAGAAGAGACCCAGGAATAGAGCATCCAGGATCGCTGACTAAGGAACCCATAGCACCAGAGTATTGTGGGCGAGTCCGAGGGAGCCTAGGAGAGCAAAGAGCAGTCCGGAGTGAAATGGCTGGAGGATGTGTGTTGTGTGTGTGTGTGTGTGGGGGGGGTGTAGAGCCCTCCAATTTACTAATTACAGGCTGCTGTTGACCTGAGGTGAAGCTGCGGGGAGAACCAAAGGCAGGGTGGGAGGACATTCAACAGGAGAACAGGAAGTAGAAGCACTTCTACGCCAAACCGGAAGTGAGCTGTGTGGAGCCACCCTGGGAAGGAAGTGAAGTCCAGGGAGCCTTCAGGAGGCTGTGGCGAAGTCCAGCATCCCTGTGAGTGCACAGGGGTGCAAACAGTGTGGGAGAGAGGCTGAAAACACACCAGGAACGGAGATGGATGGACTGAGCTCCTCTACAGGCACTAGGAAAAGTGACAATAATAATAATTAATAGTAATAATAATAAATAATACCTAATTTTCCAAGAAAAAAATAAGTAAAATCATGCTGTCACTCATTCATTAACCCAAAAAGCATTTATGACGTATCTATCATGTGCCAAGCCAAGTTCTGTCACAAATAAGAAAAACACCCTTCCTACCTTTATTGCTTCAGTCCAATGACCTAAAACAGAAATGAAACTAAATGAAAGCCAGACAAGACTTTGGCCTATCAGGCCTGTTCTAAATAAATGAGTATGTCTTTGGAAGTACGTATGCTTTCATGACAAGGAATCCCTCAGATTGGTCCTTACTGCTTGTTAGAGAGAACAGCAGAGACCCAGAAGCTGGAAGTCAAACACAGAATTCCTTGATGACTAAGGCAATGCATGGCACTTGAACTGCGGTGGCATACTTGAATTGTAGCTGATAGAGGGATTCCTGGTAGCCCTGTCTGATGTACTTGAGGCTTTAATGCAGAGAAAGAATGGTGGACGGAGATGAGGGCAAATGCTTCATCTTATCAACAGGCTGGCCATCTGGACCGTGGTTCCAGTGAGACCAAACTACTGCCTCTTTCTGCTGTTGCTCTTTCTACTGGAAGCCGGGATCTACTCATACCCGTTCGGCCATGCTTTTTAGCATCATCGGAATTCTTCGCAGTCATCGACATGACTGGTTTTCATTGGCTTTGGAAAGGAAAAGTGTGTGTGGGGGGGTACACGCTGATTTTCCTTCTGGTGACCTCAATGACAGACTGGAAAAGGTTCCTGACCTGTGAGCCAGGTTTGCACCCCATGTTCCACACCATGTTCCATACCAAGTGGCAGAATGAGGAAGGAGAAGAGTTAAATGTGTAGGGACTCAAAGGTAGTTCGGAAGAAAGGGGCCTTTGACATTGCTGAGTGAAGCCCTCTGTCCTGTCAAGGTGGGAATAAGCTTCAAGGCTAACTGATGGTGCCCTCTTAGAACTCAGGACATCTGAAACTCCAGGCGACACTTTTGTATTGTACGTGTTTCCTCGTCTATATTGAGTTAAATTTGTAAGTAAACAACTTTGCCAGTGGTTGGGAGGGCATTTGGTATACCTTTTGGGGGGAAAGTTCCCAGGAGCACACGTAAATCAACACTTGCACCAAAGCAGATTTGAACAGTAGTGCAGAATCTCTGTGATATTCTGCATCATGAAAAGCTCAGAGGTCCTTGCTAGGCATACTAGAGAGTGTCGAGGGAACATGCTTTTCCCCAACACCTGTTATTCAAAAATAGCCTTTAAACTTTAGTTTAAGTTTCATAGCAAATCGGGATAAAAGGCACAGAGTGGGGACACGGCTCAGTTAGTAAAGCGCTTGCCAAACAAGTATCAGGACTGAGTTCAGATTCAAGGCACTCACATAAAAAAGTCTGGTGTGGTGGCACACATCAGTAATCCCAACTCTGGGGAAGTAGGAGCAGGTGACTCCCGGAGCTCAGTGGCCAGCCAGCCTAACTCAACCATGTTGGTGCAGTGAGAGACCCCGTCTCACAAAATACAATGGAGAGAGATTAGGGAAGGCGTCCAACTTCAACCTCCAGTCTATGTATGAGTGACCTACAGAGAGAGCGCAAGAGAGAGACAGAGAGACAGAGACAGAGAGAGACAGAGAGACACACAGAGAGACAGAGACAGAGACAGAGACAGAGAGACACACAGAGAGACAGAGAGACAGAGAGAGAGAGAGAGACAGAGGAGAGGGCAAGGGAGCTCCCACACAACCTGTGCCTTGCACAAGCACATCTTCCCAGTTATCAATATCTTCCACTAGACTGGTTCAGCTGTCACAGCTGATGAAACACCCTGACATATTTTCAATGAGTCCATAGTTTACATGTGGGTTCTTTGGATGCTGATTGTCTTGTAGGTTTGGACAAATTTGCAATGAAGAGTTCTACCATTAGAGTATCATACAGGGTAGTTCCCCTGCCTGCATGCTTATTCACCCCTCTCACCTCCCCATCCCTAGCCCCCCACAGTTGGTGATCTCTCTCCACAGTTTAACTTTTTCCAGCATGTAATACAGTTGGGGTTGGGTAGTACACCACCCTTTCAGAGCCCCTTCGCTTACTAAGAATCTTTCCAATTTCTTTATGTGCTTTATGTTTTGACAATTTCCCTTTCTTGCTAAGTGGCATTCCATTATCTGGCTGTATTAAAGACACCATCTTTAGACCACCTGACCATTGTATCTGCACACCCCTTTCATCTCACCGAAACACAAGCCGAACTTTGGAGAGGTGTCTAGCGATGAGAAGAAAAGAATAGACGTTATGATTTAAGCTAGGGCTCACATATTTTCTGTAGCAATTACTCATGTCCCACTTTGCCAGATGGGGGGAGGTGAATTTCAATTCAAATGTAAAGTCATTTTCCCTGAAAATAAACGGGAGTATATTTATCTCTGAGAAAAAAAATGTCTTGCCTCCAGGATGAATCAGACTGAGATGAAATTTTACTCTAACATTTAAAAGAGAAGAAAAGGAAGGAAAATCAGACAGAGAGAGGGAGGAAGGGAAAGAAGAGAAGGAAAGGAGAAGAGGGTGGTGAGAGAGAGAGAGAGAGAGAGAGAGAGAGAGAGAGAGAGAGAGAGAGACTAACTAACAGAATTATCTGAGCAAGGTGTTTCTCTCCCTTTTACCAGTTAGAAGTTACTGAATAATTCATGACAGCAGGGAAAGGCTGTCTTCTCCCTGGGTGATGGATAACGGAGCAGGAGAGTGCTTGCAGTGGGTTTGCCACATCAGCCAGCACTCTTGCTTCTGAGCACAGGGTGCGCTCCTCTCCAGCTCAGCTTTTCTTGCAGCCAGGCATCCTCGAGGTTGCTGCCTGCCCACCCGCCTGGGCTTGTAGCCTCACCACTTCACTTTCTCCAATTCTGATGCCAGCTGAGGAGACTCCCCACAGCTGCTGGCTCCTGCCTGGGACCATGTGTGTGGATGCTGCTTGGGAGAAGCAAGGCGCTTGCTCCTGGCATGGATCCCAGCTCAGTTTCTCCTGTTGACTTCTGGACCACAGATGCTGCTGCTGAGGAGGGATTTCCTGGCATCTCTCCTGCTATCATCAGCTAAGGACTGGCCCCAAATCAAGGTACCTTCTACTATGTCTCCTTGGCATTTTTTTTCCCCAGCCAGGGTATCTCCACTTTCTCCCGTTAACAGGGGCTCTGGCTGGCAACAAACATTCTTTTATCTCTCTCTCTCTCTCTCTCTCTCTCTCTCTCTCTCTCTCTCTCTCTGTGTGTGTGTGTGTGTGTGTGTGTGTGTTTGGGGAAATTGTTCTTGGTGTTGGCATGACCTTAGAGCTTCCCTACTGTTCACTGAGTGTAAAGCGGACCTTCTCTGTCACTGGAGACATTTCTGAGGCAGGCACCTGTCATCTGCCACCCCCGTTTCTCCTTCAGCTCCCTCTCCCCCTCCCCCAACCCATTATTCGGCTTCAGCCTTGTGCTGGTGGCAGAGGGCTGAAGGGATGTCTTTGCCCTCCCAGCAGGCAAGTGTCAGGATGGCCCGCGCTGCAAGAAGCCAACGCTAGGGTGCGAGGTGTGAAGAGTTGTCCAGAATGACCAACTCCTCCTCCACTTCCACCTCCTCCACCACCGGGGGATCGCTGTTACTGCTCTGCGAGGAAGAAGAGTCCTGGGCCGGTCGGCGGATTCCGGTGTCTCTCCTGTATTCGGGGCTGGCCATAGGGGGCACGTTGGCCAACGGCATGGTCATCTATCTCGTATCGTCCTTCCGAAAGCTGCAGACCACCAGCAACGCCTTCATCGTGAACGGCTGCGCCGCGGATCTCAGCGTCTGCGCCCTCTGGATGCCACAGGAGGCGGTGCTGGGGCTCCTGCCCGCCGGCTCCGCGGAACCCCC